TATATGGAAAAACCTCCAGGTTATAATGTTGGAAGGCCGGGATAGGTATGCAGACTTTGCCGATCCCTGTATGGATTGAAACAGGGCCCTCGGGCGTGGTTCGAGAAGTTCCAGAGCACTCTAATTGGTTTTGGATATTGTCAAAGCCTCAATGATCCTTCACTGTTCATCAAGATCACTTCTCGAGGTATTGTTCTACTCTTGTTATATGTAGATGATATGATCATCACAGGATCTGACTCAGAAGGAATTCAGCAACTTAAGGATGGGTTGCAAGGTGCTTTTCGTATTAAGGACTTGGGTAAGCTCTCTTATTTCCTGGGTTTAGAAGTTTCTCGTTCAGCTGCGGGAATCTTTCTTTGTCAGAGGAAATATATTACGGATTTGTTGGGTGATTATAACATGGAAGAATGTGTCCCGGTAAATACTCCTATGGAACTTAACTTAAAACTCAGCAGGGATTCGAGTGATAAGATAAAGGATAGTTCTCAGTATCGGAGCATTGTTGGTAGTCTGATATATTTATCGGCTACCCGACCAGATATCTCTTATGCAGTACAGTTGGTTAGTCAGTTCATGGCAGATCCTAGGACTGATCGTTTGGCTGCAGTGTATCGTCTTTTGCGTTACCTGCGTGGAACTAAGGAGCTGGGACTTATGTTTCCGTCGTCTGGGAAGGCCACTCTTCGAGCCTATTCCGACTCAGATTATGCTGAATGTGTTGATACAAGACGGTCTACGACAGGATGGTGCGTTCAGTTTGGTAATTCTTTTATCTCTTGGAGATGTAAAAAACAGGACAAGATGTCCAAATCATCTACCGAGGCAGAATACAGGGCGATGTCGGATGTGACTTCTGAACTTACCTGGTTGCGGCGCTTATTGGGCGATATGGGTGTGGATATTGCAGGTCCGATGGATCTTTTTGTTGACAATACTAGTGCTATTCGAATAGCTGAGAATCTAGTTCTGCATGATCGGACCAAACATATTGAGGTGCACATGCATTATGTTCGAGATGAAGTCAGAGATGGAACCATTGCACTACACTACGTTCGAACTGAAGATCGGGTGGCAGATATACTTATAAAGACATTTTCTACTAGTCGACACCGTTATCTATCTGACAAATTGATGCTTATAACCCGGCATCAATTTGGGGGAGGCTGTGAAATATTGTCTTTGTAATTAGTTTGTATATTTACGTAGTATAGTGCTTGATTAGATGGGCCTGTTGCATTAAGAGCCCTCTCGGCCCATGCAATCCACGTCAGTCCATGTAGAGACGTGAGGTAGGGTTGTGCTAGGCAACTGAATATAGTGGCAGCCAATCTCTCCTGTAACATATATCGAGATCATCAGTAAAATCAGTAGTCGAAGAGCGTTCAAGCTCTTCCGTGGATTAGTCCTGGGAAACCGGAGATACCACGTAAATCTGTGTTCATTTTCGTTACTGTCTTTGATTTCAACGGAAATCCCAGTAATGCATTCTACACTCTATCATTGTGATTCCCCCTCGATCTTCCAACCCCCGTGAGTTAATAAAATGTAATTGTTTAGTTTCTTTCTATTTAACGTGATATGTATCCTTTATAGCATCTACGTGACCACATTGGTAGTGCATTCTCAATTGCAAAATGACATGGTATATGTGTTTGCAATTTCAAAACCAATTGCATTGATGTGGCTACCAATTGCATATTTGCAAGCTTGCAACAAATGCAATTCCATACGCAAGTAAAAAAAAAACCTAAAAAAATAGAGATTTTTTATTTTATATTATTTTATTTTCTCTTTTACTTAATTTTTCTATAATTTTGTTTCTCTCTGTGCGAAACGCTTTTGCCAATGGCTGCCTCGCAGTCGACTGACCGGCCGGCTGGCGAGGGCTCTTCCTGGGCTCAGTTGTTCGCAGTTGCGCCAGAGAAGAGACTTACCTTTCGCCCTCCGGAGAGGATGAGTGATGGATTCCGTATTCCGCAGGAGATTAAGGAGAAAGGCGCCGCGAGATGGTAGGACTCCCTCATCGTTCAGTTTGTGGGATCTCGTCCTAAGATCCCGGCACTGCAGACCTGGGCTAACAAGCTTTGGGGAAGAGATGGGCCGGTACGTGGCTCACGATTTGGTTCGAGGCTATGTCTTTCAATTCCCGTCTGCTCATTCTTGTGATTGGGTTTTCAAATCGGGGCCATGGCATCATATGGGAAATCCGATTTTCTTTCGTAAGTGGGAAGCTGGGATTCAGCCAAATGCACCCAAGGTAGAGACGCTGTCGATATGATTTCGAATTTGGGGTTTGCCGTTGGAATACCTAGGCCAGGATGGAATTGGGTGGGTGGCTAGTACGATGGGGAAGCCATTATGGACTGATCACAAAGCGAGGTTTGGAGATCAGCTGGGGTTCTCTAAGGTATGTGTTGAATTAGGGGCTGATTTTGATTTCCTGTCCAGCATCAAGCTGTACCCTGATAATGATCCACGTTTCGAGGTTAGGGTGGAATATGCACAGCTTCCTAAAGTCTGCTCTAAGTGGGGTATCTTTGGGCACAGTTGTCAAGTAGTACTAGAGAAAGAATGGTGTGTTAAGGCTGTTGCTGGGGATAATGTTGAAAAGGTAGACAAGGTGGCTGATCTGGGTGAAGAAAGTATTATGATGGAAGTGGGAGTTGAGGGAAATATGCCAGAGGAAACGATAGAGGAAAGTAGTAACCACCTAGGGGAGAATTTAGAGATTGCAATTCAGGAACCGCAAGTTGTTGCTACGCAAACAGCTACTACTAGTGGGGGCTCTAAAGATGCTGAAACGGCTCCTCCTCCAATAGGGAGCCCTCCCTTGAGTTTTGCTCAGGTTGTAATTGGGTCATCAACTATGGTTGGAAGCCCTGTTACTGCTGTGCATGGGACTAAGAGGGTTAAGTCACCATCTTCTGGGAGCTTGCAACCTCAATCCACTCAAGGGGGACAAAAAATTCAAGGAATTATGTTGCACAGGATAAAGGAAAGCGTGTTTGGGTTGATTCGCCTCCACTACCTCAGTTTAATGGAAAGAGAGGGGGTAAAGGTGGTAGGGGCCGTGGCAAGAAATGAAGATTATTACATGGAATACCCGAGGGTTCAAGGCAGAGGGTAAATATACAGCATTACTTAGGAAAATAAATAAACACAATATAGATATAGTAGCTATTTTAGAGCCGCGAATAAGAATCTCAGGAACTGAAAAGCTGAGCAAGAAAAGGTTTCCAGAATGGGAATCTAAAGTCAAGCATAATCCTGCAGGGTTGGGGAAGATCTGGTTGCTCTGGAGGAAAGAAGTAAAGCTTAGTGTTCTACATTCTTCGTATCAGTTTGTTCACTTCCTTGTTGATGATGAACATAAGTTCTTTGGTACAGTGGTTTATGCATCAAATGATGAGAGGTCTAGGGTCTTATTGTATAATGAGATCTCAAGGATACAAGTCAGAAGCCACCCTTAGGTGGTGTTGGGGGATTTCAACGATATCATACATTCTTCAGAGGCATCAAACAGTCCTCAACCGGATTCTAGCATGCACTTTTTCAATCAGTGGATTGTTGATCTTGAGTTAGAAGAACACCAAGCTACTGGTCCCTGGTTCACATGGTTAAACAAGCAGATAGTGAGACCCATTGCAAAACGGCTTGATAGAGTTTTGGTCAATTTTGAATGGTTGGAGCATATGAGAGATAGTAAAGTGCATTTGCAAAGCCCTGGGGTTTCTGACCACTGTCCAATGTTTGTGGAAACTAAGGTGGAGTTGAAATCTCTGCCTAAGCCATTCAAGTTTTTTAACTTCTGGCTGCAACACCCAAAGTTTAATAGTCTCCTTGAAGAGGCATGGAGTAGTAGAGTTAGTGGTCATCCACTAATAAGAGTGTGCAAGAAACTGAAGAACCTGAAAAGCTATTGAGGAAGCTGTATAAATAGGAGTATTCGAATATTAGAGGAAGGGTCAAATAAAAGGAAATGGAGCTGGATTTAGTCCAGCAGAAAGCTCTGGCTGATCCCTCCCCTGAGAATTTTGAAGCTAAGGGTGCTTTGATGAAGGAACTTACTGATCTTTTGTCTGCTGAGGAAAGTTTCTTGAGGCAAAAGTCAAGAGAAATTTGGTTTAAGACTGGTGATGAAAACACAGGTTTCTTTCACCGTTCGGTTGGATCTAA